TAGCACACACTCTTGTCCACAGGATCCCTTAGGGTGTCCTCACTATGGTAATGACCCAGGCGGCTAGTGTTGTGTGCTTTTAAAGCATTTTTCACGCTCTGAAATGAAGAATATGTCTGCACAGCCATCCTGTTTGATTTAACATCAATGAGGTCATTCATAACGCTAAATGACTGTTCTATTTTGGGTCCAGTGAAAATACTAAGACAAGCTCTTACTACCTTCCCAAGAGCTGGATAGCAAGGCATAACCTCTCTCCACCAGTGATCCAGTCGGGTGCTGTCATTTATCCCAGTTAGGGTTGGATCTGTATGTATTCTTGAGACTTCTCTCAAATACTGATCCTTTGATTTGCCGTCTTGATCAGACACGTCACTGAATGATAATTAAGAAATTATTTCAGATTTTCTAAAACTCCAGTACAAGAAATGATTACAAACTTTAATAGATCTATAAAGTAAAATTTACTAACCAGGTGCATAGTGCATATCCTGGCCTGTCCACTTTCCTCACAAAGTCCGATAAAAAGTCACCATTTACATCCTTTTCTTCCAGCCACGACCATTTGAACTTGTTCTTTACCTTTCCTTCTATGCTACTGATATCCGCCGACCTATCTACTTGTTTGTACATTTCATTTGATCTATTATCGCTTTGGTAAACACCTTTGAATAGATAACGCTCTTCAATTGTCTCACTCAATAGAAAGGTACACAAAAGAATGGCTGCGTTTTCTAAAGCACGTTTTCGAGATAAAATCTCGTTCACATGACATGAAGTTTGCATTATAAGCATACAAGGTCTCGCACACGCCAGCAAGCATTGCGAGACTACAAAATGGCGGCGCCCTGTCGCCGAATGTAAACAAACCGCGCGATTGCATAAACGCTCATCTATGGCATGGAACACCAAAATCCGATAAATAATTTTAAAAAATGTGTTTCTCAGGAAGAAAACCGGAGGTTTTCAGGATTTTTTAGAAATATCCGGATTTCCGGAAGACTTTCATCATTGATATATAGATTCCAAAATCAACAGAAAAATTGAAATGGCTGACAACATTCAGCAGAAAAACATCCTAAATCAGGGCAATACCAAACTTTCAAATAAAATTCCTCTCATTATTATCAATCAGTTTAAACACAGAAAGATTTCATGAATTCTGAAAAAACATTATCATCTCCTACAACTGAATGATTGTCTTAAACAGATATTTCGTGAAGTTCCTGTTGTCTCCTTACCGAAAAAGTAAACTCTAAAAAATATCCTTGTTCACACAAAATTAATTACATCCCATCCAAAAATGTTTGTCATCCATGTGACAAAGCACGTTGCTAAACCTGCAAGTTCATAAAAACCACTGACTAATTTTCTGACAAGTACGATTAAAGAAACTTTAAAATATAGAAAGAAATCACTTGTGAAACAAAAAACCCCATTTACCTTATCCACTGAAAAAAATGAAATTCCCAATATTTAGGCCATACCCAAACAACTCTTGAGAA